CTATGATCCTGCTTGATTTCAGCACAAGATATGTAGGATGGTAGCAGAAACCATAAACGAATACTTAGAATGATAAGACAAGAAGATCCTGGTGGATGCTACGTAACAAAACCAAAGATAAATTCAGTACAGTTCTGGTCAGTCAATTTCTCCAAATATTGAAGATGATGGTTTATGTAGTTCTTTGTATTATTGCTTTAGATACAGAGATGAATTCTTTGATGGTGAAAGGTTGCTGGGAAAACTGTTCTTTCTACCCTCCACCCCTATGATCTTTACACAACACCTATTAACTTGCAGATCTTGACAGAGAAGATCGGAACCTAACATCAAAGGGTGGTTTCCATTGACTCATAAGTTTTCCTTCCACAGAAGCTGCTTGTCTAATTTCCTTTCAATGTCCAAGAAGTGTTCAGGTTGAAAGTGAACCAGTACTCCAGACAAATCCCAAATCCTTTCTTCTATGAATATCAAATCGATTTAGAGATTATCCTTCTCATATGTAATTAGGACAGGTAGGTGATACAACAGGACTCCACTGGCGATCGGGCACAGAGCTAGTCCTATCCTCCTCAATCACGGCGTTACATCAACTCATCAAACACAAGCAGCCTGGCAGGTTGCAGGTTTGATACGAATTGAAAGTGCAGCCTTCTTCAAAACATAGACAGGGCTCTCATTGAATCTGTCCTCACCAGAACCCAACGTCCTTCACATAAAACACCAATTAGAGGGCACAGGGAGGATCCACCCGGGACATTCGTAACGGGACTGGTCGACGACGACTCGTTTCTACAGGAGTTTCCAACAGTTGGATAGCCAGAGGTGGCATGACATCAATTTTGGCCTTGCTTGAGTTTCCTCAAAACAATTTCATTTCCCTTCTGTAACCTATTTTTGGTCCTTCCCTCCGCGCATCTCAAACCTTCTCCATGTTCCCCAGCCAATAATGCCTGTCATGGGTTGCTCTCCCTCCGTATTTTTAAGAGTCGAGTGAGCATAGCTCTAACAAAGCGCTACTTGGCATCACCACTACACACTCTGGCACACGCAGACACAATAGTGTGCAAAATGGGGCTAGAGCTCGTCACTGTCATTTAGACAGCGTATTTCGAGGGGAAGGGAGTAATTTACTACCCGTTTGTGAATCGCCCTCAAAATAAGGTTTCTATTTCTATATCCCAGAGAGGGGGCGCAAGAGCATTTCTTGATACGTCATATCCATGAGCCATAGTGACCTTGTTTACACAGTATAATGCAGCCTATAAATTAATATGAACGCATTATTGTTGGTGTATCAGACAATATTTGTCCTTTTTGACTCTTTACAGAAAGCTCACTAATGAATTGGTCAGTGGTGACATTGAGATCTAAATCATCCATTTACAATGGATTTCTAATCATTCTGCCTTGCAAGTCTAAAGAGAAAAAATAATAATTAGAATCAATAACTCAAAACTGTCATTTGAACAGCAAATTCTTACCTCGAGCTCTCAATTGGTAGAAACAGTGATAAGCTCTCTCTGGTCATCATGCATTACTAAACTTACAAACTGCTTTCCTCAAACTAATTAGTGATTTATCTCTTATAAGCAAGTGTTGATCTCCTGTTAAATCATCACCTCTTATAAGAACAGTGTTCCAGTATGTCTCTTGGAAAGTTATAAATCAGAAATATGAATGGCTTCCATGCTGTACCATTCTAACGATATTTGCAATAAACGTAACTACCTATCTTAATACGTGGAGGTGTTTCCTTAAAAGATCATATGAGCTTCAAAGTGAAAAATAAAATTATTGTCACTAAATTTTGTGGTTTTATTTCATTTTCCCTTTCAAATGAGATCCATTATCTCTTTGTACCTTGTACACAGGACATAGCTAATCCTCAATTATTGGTCAAATGAATAGCCTGACCCTCCATTACTGGCAAATTTTTTCCCCACTTCCATGTGACGAATCCATATTTAGTTAATAAACCCAATTTGTTTTCCTTTTTTACCCAAGCTGAGGGGATTTCTATAGGGATGTAACAGCAGTGAAGCACAGAGCAATCTTACCTATATCCTGCTTTCCTTTTCAAAATATATTATGTTTCAATATCATCACTCTTTTCAGATGACGTAGATTAATGTTTGGCATTTTCCTCTGGCAGGATGGAAGTAGTTGGTTGAGAGCCAGAAGGATGTTTCTTTTATAGTTTGACATGGTGTTAATGCTCTTTTTGCTATCAATACACATGCTGAAGGTGTAATGTCAACACAATCTGAATGCAATCTGACTTTGAAAGAAGATGCAGATATGAACATTTCATGAACTAAAATCGGGGAAAGTTAATAGTTTCACATATCCATAAAAAAAGTTTATACCATCAGAAACAAAATAAATTGCAAATGACAGCAATTTATAGCAGACACTTTAGATTAGATACTGAATAGCTTCATATGAAAATAAGGCTTTATCTCATTTGTATCACAAAATTTTCATAAATCATATAACATAGTCTTTCAAAGTTTCCATTTATGTACATGTAAATCCACCATGAATAAGTACTACTATCTTGAAAACATTGTGATGTATAGTTATTTTTTTTAACAGATAAGACTCATCAAGTGGAGAAAAAAGTCAATCTACTGATGACGACCATTCACTGGGTCTATTTCCTGATTGTAAACCAGTCATAAGACAAGTATTCTTGACCTTCTCATATCAAGTTCTAACCATGCCGGATAACTGCAGGAAATAGATTTTACGACACCTCTGTAGTGATGATGGTGTCACATTGTGGGTCCTAACATGGACCTATTAAATGGATCACGTATCAAAACAGAACTAATCACTCTGTGTAATAAAAACAAGGACTAGAGGATTTACAGGTGAAAATAATGCCCTTTGGCTCGTGTTATAGTCCTGGTCTTCTATCTGCCTTTCTATTAGGGTTCCCGCATTTCTTAGAAGAAAAAAAATCCATGACTTTTCCATATTGATCAATTATTTTAGTCTCAAAATAAAATGGTGAGCAATAACATTTCTTTATAATATAACCTTTTTCCAATGATTTTACAAGAATTGAAATATTTTTTTCAAATTTCTATGACATTTCCAGGTATTCCCATGAATGCAAGAACCATGTTCTATGAATAATCCACTTTCGTTCATACTAGATTGTTCATTCAATATGCAATAAACTCTGTTTAAGAACTACAGGTAAACTAATATTGCTTTTATCAAGATCCTAGCATTTGAATATGAACTTGAGGAATCCCAAACTATTTACAAATGGGCAAAAAGGCACTTGCCAAAGACATGTCATGTCATTTATGCACATGGGTAAGATACACGTAAAAGCATGTACTTTACCTGGTTGGTAATTCACGCAACATTTCTGTTCCTCGGCGGACAACACTCTCAAGCTTGGAGAACATTGTCAAAATCCTTGGATCTACAAAGCTCTTGCTCTAATTCCTCCTCCTATATATTCTCCTGGTATTCAATCCAAGACTGATATACAGCGCAACAACAAAGTTATGTCCAATCTGTCAGCTCCACTCGGGATATGTACATTGTCCGGCAGTAATGCCTCTGCAGCACTTAACGGCGATATCCTATATCACATACCAGCACTTTGAAGGAGACCATACAAGAAAACCCACCATATATCCTGACAGATGCACTGATTAAAACAACAGGCACACAATTTGCAGCAGGTTTAGTACAGCTTCACTGCAGTGATATGAGATATAGGATTATACCAAGTGATATGGTTCTCCCTTATTTTAGCAATTTAGTCATCCATTAAAACCTACACGTAGTCCTCATGTATTGTATTTTATGTGGTATCCACTTAATGTATACGACCGCTGTATAAAGAGTGCGCATTTTGTCACACCAACATGCGAGCAAATTGGATGTAAACCAACTTATTCTCTTCATCTATGATGCACAAGCTCTCTCTCTCTCTCTCTGTCTCTCTTCTCTCCTCTCTCTCTTTCTCTCTCTTTCTCTCTCTCTCTCTCTCTATCTCTCTCTTTCTTTCTGTCTCTCTCTCTGTCTATATGTCCTCTCCTCTCTCTCTCTCTCCTACTCTCTCTGTTCTCTCCTCTCTCTCTGTCTCTCTCTCTGTATATGCATGTCTCTTCTCCTGTCTCTCTCTCTTTATAATCAGGAAGTGAAAGTCGTTAATTGTCTGAAATTGAAACTAAAACTTGACATCAAAGTGATACTGAATAAAGAATAATGGGAAATTTGCACGGATCCCCAATCAAATATCTTGCTATAAGTATACAACTCATACAGTGGAGGGTCTAAGATATTATGAATATATTTCATTGTTTGCTCGAAGTGGAAGTGGCTTTGTTTGGCTCGATATTTGACAATCCTTTTTAGTAGTAAGTCAATACAATGCATTCAAAGTAAACCGTTGTTTCACTATTTACTAATCTATATGTATGCCTACATTGTAGTAGAGTCTCAGATTCATATGATGGGACACTGACACACCAACAGAGGGAGACAAACTCATATTATTAATCAGTGTTGTTGCATGCAAAGATCTGCCTTCAATTCTTCCAGTCATTTAGCTGAATTGTAATGAGGGTTTTCTTATTACTGAAAAGCATGCCTAATGCACTTCACAGAGATATTATTGTTAGGTTTCATCTCTAGAATAAATAGCTTCATTATCATCTCTCATTCAAATAAATGTTAATGGGAGGTGAAAATGAAAATAATATGAACTCTGTGTCATGCGTGACAAAACAAATCATTTTTCATTTATATATATATTTTTTTCCTTTTAAAATTATGCACCCCAGGCTTATAATGCATAATTCCACTCCCACCTTTATACATCTGCAATTAATGCTCTATCAACTGCATAAAGATTCCACTGTACACTACTCAGTTTGCAGCCATGCTAAAAAGAACAAAGCACCGTGAAATTACAACACTTATTAGGGGTCAAATAAGTGAAAAATTTACTACATATTCATCAAACTTACCTGAGAATCACAAAGCCCAGAACACCCAGAATTAGACCAAGCAGAACAAAGAGTGCAAAGACCACACCTACAACACGCCCAGCATCTTCACCAGGTTTCATTGTACCTCCAGGAAGCAGTCCAGATGTGGGAGCTAATAAAAGACAAGAAATAATACACAAGTGAGAATACTGTAGGAAACAAATGTAATGATAACATACATAACAAACAATTCAAACGTCTGTTTTGAGCCAGAAGGGCAATTTACTGATAGGGAGGCCCATGGAGATTATGCTGTATTACCCAGAAATTTCTCCAAAAAGATATATTTTTTTAAAGCACTGATTCATTAAACAGAATGCTCAAAATTACTCAATAATTGTTTTACTTGAGAAGAGAAAGTGGATTGATATTCTTTTTAATTCTCAAGGATTTTAGATAATACTTTAGAGAATTAGAGCCTTTTAAATACAAGGAGGTAATTTTTTAATGATTCTATTGGATTCAGGTTCTTTTGTCCATGCGCATAAAAACACAGCCAGGAACGTCCAGTGACAAATACGCCGCAGTCTTTAACCTGACATCTTGTAACAACTTTAACCCTTACAAGGGCTACATTCTTGATGAATAAAGCCTGGATAGAAATGTGCCAAACAATGTGATGGACTACCAACAAATATAGTTCAGAAAGCAGATTTATAAATTTCATAATGTAGGATTAGATTAAATTACTTACGAACATACGCCATGACGAATCTCTGAGGTAAGGATGCCTCTCCCTGGAGGAGACCCCTGCCAAGGAATGTGCTCATCGTAAATGCTCTGACGGTGACCTCATACGTGGCATCATCCTGCAGGTTACGCAGGAGGCGTGAGGTGTTGGTGATCTCAGCCGCGAGCATGGGCGTGGAGACATTGATGTCTCGGTAGGAGACAGTGTAACTGTCGATGGAGTTGTAGAAGATGAAGGGCTCCATCCAGGAGATGCGGGCTGTGCCAGGGCCGATGACGGTGATGGTGATGTTGTGAGGCTCACTGGGAGCTGAAGGTGAGATGTTAAAGAGAGTGATAAGAAAATGAACATGCAATATATCCTCAGAAGTGCTCTGAAACAACTGGAATAACAGATATATATATATATATATGAACATTTAAAAAAAGCAACAAAAAAAAACAGCTGTTGTTATTATCACAAGAAAAACAAGGCCACATAAGAAAAGCACCTGAATCAGGTTCACAAACTTGGGAAACAATAGCAGAACCAGGATTAAAATTCATATATCAGACCCAAACAACACTTGTCAAAATACACATCAATTTCTTTTTTAATTCCCAAAAGAATGAATGCATACATGTACAAGAAGCACAAGAGTTTCAAACCTACAGGCAGACCTGCACTTTGCATACATTCATGATGCACACAGCAATACATGACACTGAAGTGACTGAACCAATCACACCATCGATTTGAAACATATATCACCAACATGAACAAAAATATGTGGGGCAACAGATTAATCAAGCTCTGGTACCGTACCATGAAATACTAGGATTAGAAAGATAGGTATAGAGAACAAGTGTTCCATGGCTGCCTTCACCTATTCATGACCAACACGTAAGTCAGAAAGACAAGTGAAATACTGTATGGATTCACTTCAGTTGAAACTATCAGCCTGCCTTGATGGACTCTCATCGATCGAGTCAATGTCATGACATTGAGATTAATGCTAATCCTAAATTTGGGAGTAAGAGCTTCGGAAAGGAAAGTTCTCATGAACTCATACACATGAAGGAGTTGAGAATCCTTCATTTCCTCAAAAATACCTCACGTATACAAAATTTGACCACACCAAATTGATCTTATTTCAATCTCTCTGGGATTTACTGCAAGGTATTATTTCCAAGATGTAAATTGAAAACGTGGCCATGTCTCTCTTTCACATCATGCTTAATATACATGCAGCTTCAAAACTTCATCCATATCATGTATGGCTTGAAATACACATTAAAATGATAATACTTAGGTCTTTGCCACATTTAAAGGCAGTAACCTACAGAAGGCTCTGATTTCTTTACCAAGATAAATATATTCCTGTTACTGTTCAATAGAAGTACATCGTACAAACACATTATACTTATATATACACCAATGTCCACAATAAACTATTAAACTATTCACAGATATTTCACACCAGAACAAGATCAGTTTAATGTTTTGAGCTTTCTACAAGCAGCTGACAATTCATCTGCAGAATTTTTTCTTTTTCCATCATCAAAGTTATATTCCACCAACCACCTTTTAAGTGTGACCAATATACCAAAGAACACTATTCCTTATCGTCAACTACCCAACTTATGTTCAGAACTTTTAAGAACAATCTCTGATATCAGCCTACCAGAAACCCCGCCTCAATGGAGAGACCAGGTATGAGGTGCTTGATGGACTAGTATTTAATAGTACTCTCCCCTATACATTTACTAATTTGTCATCCATGTTTGACAAAGCTAAGTATTGCATATGATAGAAATTTTGGCAGCCAGAGTATTGATATACTTTGGGAAGTTCTAAACTGACATAATTTTGAACCCTTACAACTCTGCCATTTTCCCTGAATCATCATCAACTAAAGAATCATCAGCGAAAACAATTGAGCAACTGTATGTAGCCAAGTAAAATATTTTGTTTGTTTTAATTAATAAAGATTTCAGAATTTCATTCACACTCAGAGCACCATCTCCACAAAAAAAAGTCATCAAACTAGGTTGAAATATCATCCCTTACCCTAAATCTCATCAAAACAAAGTCCAAAAGATAAAGCAACCTGTCACAAAAATTCCGCATCAAGTCCAGAGGTCCTTCAGAAACCTCAACTAAACAAAGAGACATGTACTGATGTGAATGGTCCTCTAGTCATTTGCAAAGCCTGACTAACTGAAGAGACCTAAGCTGATGTGATTTATAGTCCAGTGGCCATTCAGAAACCCTGACAAAATGGAGAGACCTGCCTGATGTGGACAATGGACCTGTCTCAAATGAAACAATTCGCACCCACCTGTCCACCTCATGGCAGAAAACCATACTAGTTTTGATAATCCAAGGAAGGGAGGGACAATAATCAATTCCTGGTCATAAAGAGGGAAAGAAAGTGGAGGGAGACAGACATACAGAGCCACAGACCGGCAGAGACAGACAGACAGACAGACAGAGAGAGAGACATAGTGGGGAGGAGCAAATAAGGTAACACAAGGTACACAACCTCTTTCATTAAATCCCATTAGAAGGATATAGGTGTTAATGGTTCTTTAAGAGACATACCCATGGACCTGAGAGACAGCCGCCTTCAGCATAATTAACTTTATAAGACATCATCACAGTCACATGAAGGAATACATTATGAGCAACAAAACAGACCTAGCTCCCAGGGCTGAGACTTAAAACAATTCCATTAACTTTCCATTTCTTTTAGCATTGGATATTTATAACTGTATTAAATCTCGAAAGAATGTAAATATGTTAGTTGTTACTGTGAGGAGCAAATACTCTTGATGTTGGATTTCTTTGTCAGAGCTAGACCTAAAGCTAGACCTAAAGCTAGACCTAATCATGAATCAATGAAAAGGTGGAGGTATATAAAACAAATATAGACTGCTCTGTAATTGGATGTTGGTCATAAACAGTTAATATTTGTATACTAATGACCGGTCATTAGTAACATTATGTGTTAGGCAAAATAAATGCCTGGTCATGTGTGCGCTCTCAACCAATCATTTGATTAGGATCCACTTCTTCATCTTATAAAACGGAATAAACAACAGATCATAGCTTCAATTTACCAAGACACTTTCCCAATTTTTAAAACTATTTCTATGTGAGATAGCATGTCTGGAATATGCATGCTGGAGACAAATAGATGACACAGTTTATTGATATTTTCCAGAAGCTGCTTGAGACCTAATGTGTTAATAGTGTTATAGTTTTAGGCAGACTCAAGTCTACAAAGGAAGGAAATAATAACAATGGAAACCAGGGTAAGACCTAATTACAACACCTAATTAGTTAACTAAATACCTTTTCTCTACTTTTGATTAGTTGGTTTGTTTTGTTGATGTGGTTTTAGTTCTACTTTCAATCTACTATTTATAATAATAATAATAATAATAATAACTTTTGTTTACCCAGGGTAGCCACTTCAGTTATAAAACTGTTCTTCTAGCGGGCCCTGCATAACATAATATGTTATTACTACCCTTCTCCAATCTAATATGCTGAGCGCCTAGCTAGAAGGCAGAAGGTCCCATTGTTATAAGTCTTTGGTATGACTCGGCCGGGGTTCAAACCCACGACCTCCCGTTCATGAGGCGGGCGCTCTAACGACTGAGCCACCATGCCCGGTGTCCAGGATAACTATTTGCTGTCCAGGATAACCTCTAGAGCACTTGACCTCTGTAAAGCATTGTAAACATTCATAACTTCACATTTGCATCGATTAAGACAAGGTTGAGCACTGGTAAAAGTATAAATGATTTGTGAATTTTTACATTTGTTTTTATTCCTTTATGGAAAATATAAAGGTCACATGAAATTGGTTTGCTCTTAGAATGCTCGCATCTTTAATAGAAATATGACGAGATGGGAAGAGGCAATTGAGTCTAGAGGGGTATACACTATACATGAGGAGCTAGGGTCATTGGGTCAAGCTTTGGTACAATGCTTGTATCATATGGCAGGGCATTTTAATACACTTGCCACTCTCCATCCTGGTGTAGTAAAGTGGATACTTGGTAGGAAGGGATTCCTTGAATACTGTGAGCAATAGAATTTGTTTCAGAGCTAGAGCCAGCTTAATACTGGAGTGCATTGAGCATCAAATGGTATAATACTATAGATATATAACATGTTCAGACAATCAAATCAACAATCGTCCTAATCATTGCTCTTAATTACCCAGAGAGGCAATTATTTTAAAATCAGTTTCACATTTCAAACAATAATTACATCCTAGCAAGACTATAAATTATATTTGCATTATTTCGCACTGTATTTTACACAAGTGTAATTAAGGTTGCAAATTAATTGAGTCATTATGTTTTGGTTACTCCTACCACAAGGACTAAAGTCATGATAAACCAGGAAAAACCTACAGCTCAGTCTAAATTTCTTTGTCAGACTCAATTTTAAACTGAGCCTAAACACAGTTTTTAATTTTCAAATAAAATGGACCAATGTCTATCAAGGTACATGTAAAATGTCTTGAGGCACAGATAAAGTCAAGCTAAACAAAAATCAAACAAATTTGTGAGATTTCCAATAAGTCATACATGTATGTATACAGCCCCTGTCTGAATTCATCCTTCACCTACATTTACTTGTCTTAAGTCATGTGCTCTTATGTGTGTACAGCAGTACAGGTAATACTTAATTTCCTACGAGGGTTATCATCGCCCTAGACACAGCCACAGGGCTGTCATGTCGTCTTTGTCCGCATTCTACACATAAGTGACAACTACAACACTTAGGCTTCACAGCCTCGTAAATGTCTTGTGACCGACTTGTTTTTGTCTTCTCTCTCTCTCTCTCCCTCTCTCTCTCTCTCTCTCTCTCTCTCTCTCTCACTCTCTCTCTCTCTCTCTCTCTCTACCTCTCTCTCTCTACCTCTCTGTTTCACTAAGCTACCCAATCATACTGTCCATAAAGTTTTGAAAGACATACTTCCAATCCAGAGCTGAATTATTTCACCTGGGTGAAGAGGGGGCAACTGTAGATGAAATGTTTAATCAATATATATGTGACTTAGAAACCCAATACTCTTTGCTGCAACTTAAAAAATATAAATTCTTTACCTCTATTTTTAACATATGTACCTGTATGTTATTCATGTTAATTCACTACTGGCTGACCTTATTGAGAGAAACCTATTATATATTTAAAAAGTAGAGGCCCTAGTATCTATCCCTGGGTGCGAACTTAGAAGGGGAAAATACATAAATTAAACTCTTGAAGGATTTCTATCACATTACGGACACCTCTGCAAGGACATCATTGATTCATGCAAGTTTGGAATTAGTAAGAGCCTCCTTAGTCCTGCAGTCTAAAAATAAAGATACTGTAGTCTTGAAGGAAGTCTTTGGTTTGATCTTGGAGTTAGCACAAATATTGGAGGGTATGGGAACTTTATTTCTAATTGCAAAAGAAGCGCAAAATAGACAGAGGGCATGAATAGATATCATAAATATATTATAGAATTCTTTGCCATTCTTGAATGCCGTTCTCGAATCTTGAATGCATATACTATTTTTAAAAACTTAGTTTGTTACTCAAGTCATTTTGGGCTATCATTTTCTGATATCCCACCTGCATGTACATGATTGTAAGACTAGCCTATTTAAGAGGTTCTAAAATGAAGCTTCAATATAAAAGAGGCCATGAGCATTGCATTTACACCTCCATATGTACAAACAAGTACATCTTGAATCTTTTAAGATGTATACAGTCTTCTCTCTTATGCTAGCTTTTTAAGAAGGGTAGAAAGAAAGTAATCTTCCTACAACAGGCATGAAGGTCGAGGTCCACGTCTGGAAAGAAGAAACAAAGATTTTGTGTGCCCTCATAAATTAATCATCAAGGAATCTTTTATCCTTACTCTCACCTAGAATTACGATCAAATCCTTGCGATGAATGATGCTGCTCTATTCAATATCAAAATACTAAAGGAAGTATTCCATTTGGTTGGATTTCTCTTCTAATCACATATCAATCAGGGCTGAAATAAAATTGTTTTTGTGAAGAAGATGGTTTTGAGATGTGACTCAACTCCATTTTGATGTTATGAGGAGTGGTCCCTTACTGCTTTAGAAGATAGAATCAAGACATTCTACATGATCGAAAGCCCTTCATTATTTTCATATTATTAATAATCATTAATTCATTGGGGTATCGATTACATGTTTTGTTTTGTATCCCTTGCTTCCATTAGGTAGTAGGCAGAAAATGGGACACAATTTTATAGGCAAGAATAAAGGCGTTCAAAGGTTCAAGTTTAGTCAATAAGTAAGACTGCTTTTAACAAGGAGTGTATAGAATTCTTGAACTAAAATTCAAACTATGTTCACAGATTTTCTTTCAGTTCACATACCCAAAAAAAAGCAAATGACAGTTGCGGCATTATTTCAAATCTATTCATCTATTGATCATAAACAACATGCTGCAAAATGAGAGCAACAACAACTCTGACAGCTCCTCTTGTATGTTAAGGAATTCAAAATTCAAAAAATATGAAGACAAAAATTAACGCTTCAGCATAATTATATTACTGACTTGACTAAATCTCATAATTCTTAAGAACTCTGAAAGCAGAAAACTAATACTTGAGACCCGAAAATTGAGTAAACATTTTGACTGATGGCTAATCTCTGATAATACTTTTTAACCCATGAAACCATAAATCAACTCGCAAAAAAAAAAATGGAACGAAGAAAACAAAAATTATGTACTTTGCCTTTTCCTGTGCATGCAAGAGGAAGGAAATGAGAGATCTATGACCAACAAAATATCCTCCTGTTTGTTGCAACATTACCCTTCATTCACACTGAACTCAGTAAACCAACTAAGAGACTGTGAAAGCAGTAGCTGCCGGCAACAAAGGCTCCGAGTATCATGACTTATCAGTGTGTAAGAAGAGAAGTGAAGTACACTTAGGTAATTTCATTATGCCGTAGCAGCTTATTTTAATCAGTTCAGCATGTGAGGTGTGAACAAGGTTTTTAAACATACACAATGACACATCCATCCATCCATAACCAGCCTAGGAAGGTGACAAAAGGACTGAAAGTGTGAGAAGGGACTAAATACGAGCTATTCATTTGAGTGTAAATAGCGCCCTCTCTGCCACCAGACATCACAGTGTGACAGAGTTATTTCCTAGGCAACATGACTTCCCAATCCTCCCTTTCTCTCACATGGTGCAACCGCAAGCCTACTGTATAATGTGAAAACAGTTTGATATTGACTGAGTCCTTGCCCCCTCATCACACCTAACATTTTGTGAGGAAACCCTTACCTGTTACATCTGTCTTCTCAAAGAGAGCAGTACTGTTTGGTCCTTCTCCAGCATTGGTGGAGGCTGATACCTTGATGATGTAGTCAGTGAACACCTCTGCAAAATGATACAAATTTTAACAATTTTTTCATAAATATAAATAGTTGCATCGACCAAACATTAAGTACATCCCCTACTGTCATCTGGTAGAAATAAGTCTATTTCTTTGTACAGCATAAAGTCCCATGTCCCTTTGCCAAGCTGATCCAACAAATTTATTGTAACAACATTGAATGCATAGACTCAGGGCATATGAAATTGGCCTGGACGTACCCTAGGACCTTCTGAAAAAGTCAAAGGTAGTAGCCATTATATACAGTGTACTGCATATGAAGATTTTAGGCCTCCGATTGGTCGATATTACAGGCATGACATTTTCTACTGATTGCTGGGCTTTATAGTGACCTTTGACCTTACCTAGTCCCAAGAAGAGGTGATGCTGCTTGCTGGTCTTGAACCGACTCCAGAAGAAAGAGTCCCTCCTCCTGATGTAGGCGTAGTAGAAGAGGATCTTGCCATTCTGGAGGTTTGGTTTGTTCCAGAAGACTTGAAGACTTCTTGGGTTCTTACCCACCTGGATCACACCGTGAGGTGGGCCTGGAACTGTTGTGAAAAGGAAAGATTTTTTTAAATTCCAAAGTTTAATCTAATGATTTCAGATGAATGCTCTAGGATAATGTATTACAGTGAAACCTATATATATAAAGACCACTCAGCGGAAAAAATAAATATGATCGTCATGGCGGTTTTTACATTAAGATGGTCCTTGTGTACAAGTTGTTTTTGTACAGGCTTCAATGACAAAAAGTATTCAATGAAAACTTATTATTTTTTTTTTTTTTTTATAGATGGGGGCTCTTTCTATATAGAACGTTAACCAGTATTTGATGAGGGTCTTTCATACACTAGCATATCTGCTCATGACTTACTAATAGCTCAATGAACAGAATTAATTTTGGAAAAGATAGTAGCCCAAGTTTGAGACCAAAGGCAGTTACTTGTGCCTTTGAGTAAGGCATTCATCCTTCTATTACCTATCCATCACTTAGGACACACTGCTGTAGGTTCCTTGGAACCCATTTGTAATCACAAACTTGCTCTCTAGGCACTCGGGTGCATTGATAAAAAATAAGATCTTGACTTGGCATTAATATAAGATATGAAGTCTACGGTACATGGAGACTGAATATCCCAACAAGAAAGAGATAGCTTACAATCATCTTGATCATAACATGAGTACTTTATGAAGGTTCTCAAACATTCCAGAATAGTAAATTGAACACTGCCATCTGTTGTTCAACACAATGCCATAGCAGGACATGGGACGTTTGTGCTCACTACACCCGAAATGATGTGTGATGCATTTAGTGTTTTTATAGGACATAGGGGTTATAAGCCAAGAAAGGAGAGATTATGTGATGTATTTAAAGACGAGTATTTGAAGACGAATAAGGAGATTGAACTCAACAGAGTACACATGGTTCTGTGAACTATTTCTATCATGATAATGTTGGAAAATAGAATCAGACATCTAAAATGCAAATTTGCTGTGAGAAAATCTTTTTGTTTTGTTTTCGATAACAGCAAATACCAAAAAAGCTCCAACAAATAAAAAAGTATCATTTCATTATAAAACTTTATATTTCTTAATTAAATTTTTCTGTTTCAAAATATGTTTTCTTCCAATATCTCTACTTCCTTTTCAAAATGACTACTCCTGCTGCATGCATGAACTGCTATAATGTATCCTACATCCTGTAAATTTGTAAAAATCAAATATAACCCTTAAACAAGAAATAACAAATACAATATCCAGGTTATATAGTCCACTTATTTTTTAATGTGGCAATATTGTAATTTCTCTACTTTGTTTAAATATACATGGAGGTACATAAATGTACACATAGCATATAAAATGTTGTTGCTTTATGATCACGCAAAGCATGGAAATGAAAGGAATACAATCTAATAACATTGAAGGTCAGAATGGGAAAATATCAAAATATCCTAATGTGAAACATCCTACGCTAGCTTGATATCGCAACAAATATGCAAACACATGATTCCTGTTCACATATGGCAAATGGTTGCTGTCTAGAACATCCAACTATCCTTGAAATATCACTGTCACGTGTATATTTGCAAATAATTTTTTATTTTTGTTAACATTATTGGGAAAGATGTATTTTTATCTTAAAGTGAACACACTGCACAACTACGTGGGTGCATATAGGTGGGTTGTACAGTGTACATGCTCATGCAGTAATGCTTTAGCCCTCCTGCCACCCTCCCCCCCCCCCCCCCCCCCCCACCCTCCCCCTCCTCACCCAAAAGTTCAGCATAGCTTGTCGGATAGCTTAGGAGCATAAATATGGGGGGTTTTTTTAAGGTTTTTTTTTTTCCATCTCAACATCTAGAATAACATTCTCAAGATTTTTTTTTTACCTCAGCTTATGCATAAATAAATGATGAACAGCTTATAAATGATGAATGCGAAATGAGCTCATAATAGAACATGACTTGTTAGTTAGATGTTATGCTGAGTGTGCTTTGGGCTTAAAGCAGTGTGCCCCCAAATTATATTCTTGGCGATATGACAGATGTGAAGAGGGCCGGGAGCAGGGTGTAGAGAAGCCCCCTCATCAGTCAGTACGTAAACAGCTGCAAATGGCTGCACAGCCCCAACTGAGTGACGTAGAATGAGTGCACCATGAGAATAGCTGAAAAACAGGGCTGATTGCCATTAGATCAATTCCTTCCTGTTGATCAGCGCATCCCTTTACACTCGCATCAATCATATACAACCATAAATTAATCATTTAGTTGGAAGGGGACCGCAGCAAGGAAGAAAGGGAGGTATTTCATTAATGAATGAATGTTATTTTAGTCCATCTTTTGTTTTTGAGGTTGTTGATAGGAAGAGGGTAGGGGTTGGTCTCCTAAGGATATTTTTAGTAATTACGCTTTATCATTATTGAAAAACAACTAGGATTAATGATGAACATTAACTCAATGTGTTGTAGATAGAAATCTATGCTGGGAAGGGGGAGAAATTTACAAGTGTAATTTCGTCCTACATGTACTTACCAATGTTCACTATTTGTCATTCTATAATAGGTAGTTGCTATGGGCCTAGGAACAGTATCAAAGGATTGTTCATGATTTTTAAAAGAATGCACATAACTTGTTACCTCTTTACCTCAGTAACGCCTGGCTGGAATGCTCCCCAGGGAGTGGAGATTGTGCACACAGTGTGTGCGGGCAAGCACTGAATCCAATGACCGGGGTACTAATATATTTGTAAAGCGTTTAGAGACATTTGTGATAAGCGCTATATAAAAGCTAAATATTATTATTATTATTATTATTATTATTATTTCTCTCATTTTTCTCTTTTTCAGCCTTTAATGATAAAAATAACATGATTATCTTTACTTATATGTAAGTAAAGTCCCTACACCCTAAAAAAAGGACATAAAAAACTTAACTCCAGTGTCTGAATGTTAACATTCTCTAATCCGACCATTTATGTTAATACTGAAGGTACATGAATGTAAAGAATGTTTCTCTTTCATGTTATCTAAATATGCATCTTCCTTCCAGATCCACACATGTTGAATAGGGAGGAAAGACAGCTTACAAAATATCTTTGCCGTTAAGCTACCCGTTGCTAATCCCAGCCTCCATACATCCCTAGACAGGAGGTCAGCTCAGGAGATGAAACAGAGAACTGGTATAGAGTAACACTGAGAACATAATACAGATGGTCCTGCAGAAGATCCTATTAAGACCATAACCCCCGAAGATGGAATGTCTAAGATAACGCAGAGAATTAGCTCTGTCCTAGATTTCCCCCGGATTGATTGAATTTCAAACATAATCATGTCGGAGTAAACAAGACATTTCCTCTCGTTTGGGACCGAGAATGGGAGCCCAGCGGGATGGCAGGGCTTAGAAGAGGGGTTACATCATCCGTCTTCGTCTGTCATATATCCTGCGACTTGATCTCCGTGTTAGGGGGAGATACTAGCCTGTCGTCTCTGTCTACACACAGCCAGAGACACGTTTCTAATCACGTTTCACATTGATCACTTCCTTCAAACTGTGCAACAAAATTTCACGGATGCATCAAATTTGTTGATCGCTATTTAATTCATTATGTCTGCTGTTAATAACCATACAAAGCATCAATGAGGGTGGCTGTAAATGGAGAATTAATGACGACAAAACACTAATTGTTTGTATTCATCCAGGAGCATTTCTTCAGGCAGACCGATGATACAGTGCAAAAATGGCTATATTAATAGAAATAGAGGCCACAATATTTATTTTGTTCTCATTTAACATACAACCCTCCTATCATACTTGATTCACAAATTGGCTAAATGCTCACATTTTTTTATTTTTATGAACAGCTTTATTTCATGAAGTACCGACTTTAAAAGATAGTTCAACTTGGAAATATGACTCTTTACTGAAAAAAAAAAAAAATATATATATATATATATATAATCTATGAAAGTTTAATTGGATGCAGAAAGTCTCCTTACAAAAATTATTTTGTGCTTATCAAAAGGATCACAATATCTCATGGAAGACACAAACTTTGTACATCCTGTATACAGACAGGCCTTATGGGTTTGAAAGTGTATCACAGACATAAAATACATAAATGCTTTTTTAATTTTTCATTCTATATTGCAAGGTTAATTTTTTTTAATCTCTTTCTTTCCTTCCAAGGCTTCATTCTTCATTGCTATCAGTTTTCTACATCATTTCAGTTTGAGTGAATCTTATAACTGTCTGTGGGTAGCAAGTTCACTGAGTGATCGACAAGCCATTCTACTGTGTGTTCATACTTGTACATACATGTATTTTGTAGAGGAAAGTCAGGTATTACCAGAACAATGTAATGAGTCATTTCTAAAATTGGAATTCCCCTTCTGGCAGCAACTACACTTTTCTTTAATATAAAATAATGCGCAAAACCCATTAAGTTCCATCAGAACCAAGTGATTTTGTTAACACTAAATTACTTACTAGCTGTAGTCTAGAAGACATGCCCAGACCATAAGGGTGCTTATGAATATTCATAGTCACACCAAATCCTGCCATGACATACACTACGTGTTGCTCTTAGCTGTAGTCGGAAAGAGAAGCCCATATCATGGGGGTGCTCATGAATATTCATACATGTATTCACACCAGATCAGGCCAGTCATATGATTATGTATCCTTCAATTATGTTCTTGATTAATCGTTGTCACTCTTTTTTGGAAATTGCAATGTCAAATCATTAAACTTAACACATGGTCACCCAAGCTAACCCCAATCGCCATTGAAACCATGAAAAAATTAGCTTTGATTTGAACAATGTATATCTAACATCTGTTCATTACATCTATTCCATTGTTGTGAAGATCAACAGAAAAACTAAATTAAAAAAAGAATAAAAGGAATAACTTCATTAAAACTACTTATACTACCGGTATGTCCAAATTCAAAGGAATTTAGGGTAAACCATAAAACATTTTCATACATGTAGCCCCCCTTCCGAACCCCAAAAGTTCTGTAGAAAGTAATGTTGAATATTTATGTTCATTAAAGACAAACAAAAAAACATAATAGCATCGTTTTTGATGTACATGTTAGTAAGCCTTGCATACAATGTGCACTGATGTAGATCACCTTATAGCATAAAGGTGTTAGAAATAAACTTGTTTAACGTCATAAGCACATGCAAGCTGATGAGTCAAGGTAGAGCAATGTCATATCATTATGAGGCTACATCCTAGGTGTGCATGTGTGGGGGGGGGGGGGGGGGGCTGGGGGTGCACAAACAGCCCATGACCCCTCTCCTTCTAATACCCAAACAGAATAAGAACAGAATTAGAAAATGTGCCCCCCCCCCCCAATTTGGTATTCATTCCCCCTTTCACACATTGTTTTTGTCATTTGTTTAGAATTGCACCCCTTCCTCTCTCTCTCGCCACTTCTGGAATCCTTGATCCACCCCTGATATCTAATCTTGGTTTTAAGAGACTACAAGTTTGCTCAGAGGGTCCCTGAATAGGTCACACAGTATTTCCTCTCCAGCAGTTCGCTTGAATAAGCCTTGTTGCAGGTAAATAGGACTTGGCATAATTATCCTTCAGTATCAAGGCTATCTATCGCTGGGCATCAAGACTCAAATGAGATTAAGCCCACATCTGAAGAGGACTCCCTCTAGCTGATATCCATGGCTAGTCTCAAGAATCAAACCCTGTACCAAGTCTTTACATGTAGAAAATGAAGCTACGTTCTCTACATAAGTTGTATCTCAATAGCATGGTGTGAAATGGGGAGCCCATTGCAAGACTATCATGGAAATTTGCTGGAGCAGATACCATGTTTGCTACTGGGTTAGCTTTAAACATTGCCAGGTATTCAAGCGTTTTGTTAGAAAACATATATGCTTCCGTGTGGCAGATCCCCCTGTGTGCATCGTGATAACAGAGGTCACTCTGAAAATGTTATCTTTCTTTAATTTAATTTAAATTATAGCAATATTGACTCGGTGGTTCCTATATATCTGAATATTTATGTGTATGTGCAATTCAGAAAGAAAAGAAAGATAAATGTTATTTTTTTCCAGACTAAACAGCTCCATTACAGAGCATTACTTTTCAACCCATGTATATGTACATTTCTCCATATATTTTAAGTTACTTGCATTCGATTAATATGACTTTGGTTCTTGGTTAGACTCCATCAACTTGGAACATAACAGGAGGGAGAAAAAGGGAACATCATCTATATTTGGAGTGTTATAATTGAAGTATGTTCTATAAAGGCATAAGGTTTGATAATCTAACTAGACCAGTGAAGGGGGAGGGGGTGGGGGCACGTACATGTGCAAACACTATTCATCATGTTACAGAGGGATATATTGTGCGCTTGAGAGGCACCAAGTTAAAACCGGATAACGGGGAGCTGGTGTATGTATATTTCTAATGTTACAGAAGGGCTTCAATTAAATTCTACAATGGAACAGAGTTCATACAACTAGATGGTGGGGGCTATATTTGCCATCTCAACAAGAAGTTTAGAGTGTGTAATAGAGAGGAAAAAAGGGTTAAACTATGGGAAGGCTTGTAGAAAGGGGCTTTCATTGTGTTCTATAGAGGCATAGACATTATCCGAATCAAACAGTTGGTATCTATACTTATCTTGTTACAGAGGACTTTGGGTTGTGTTTGAGATGGGAATAGGATTAATCCATCTGGACTGAGGGAGGGGGAGGGGTAGTTTGTAAATTTATTGCATTATAGAGTTTCAGAGAGTGTTCTAGATATAGTGCAGATTATCCCATGTTAGTGGCCCTTCATTATACTACATAGACTTAAAGCAGAGGAGAAGGGGAATGGAGTCTATATTTAGCTTGCTACAGAGGGGGCTTGAAGCGAGTTCTAGAGAGGCGTAGGGTTAATCTAACTGGATCAGACGTGGCTGAATGCCAGGGTCCCCTGGGCTTTCTCCTCTGCTCTTCTCCAGATTAATCACAATCCTAAATATTATAGTATTCTATTCAAGGCGATGATGAAGCTCGTCCTACAACCAACCAGACAACTGTGCCGCATACAAAGCATTATGCACAAAGAAATACTCCTGCCTCACAAACAGACACATGTTGAACAACCAAACCTGCTTCACTGACTACTTTTACATGTACATTAAGACCGCCTGTCCATAAAACCATATTAATTCTATTCCTTAAAGTAGAGTTTTTATTGAAACCTGTATTAATTAAACCTGTACTAAAGACCACCTGTCTATAAAGAATACTTTCCTTAGTGTCCTTATGTGGTCTTCAAAATGGCTTTCACTGTATGAACATTCGATGAAGCATGATGATATTATTCCTACTCCTCAAATATGTTGATGAAATGATTATGATAAATTGATTCAAACTCGAATCAAACTAAAGAATTCTCTATCAGACAAGTGGTTCCACTATTATTCTTAGAGAATATTACGTTTTGTGTTTGTTATGAATTATTTGTCCTCATTTTTCAAGATTACCTATTGCAGATCATGGAATGTCCAAGATAACGCAGAGAATTAGCGTTGTCCCAGATTACCCCAGTACTGATTGAATTTCAAACATAATCATGTCGGAGTAAACAAGACATTTCCTCTCGTTTGGGACTAAGAATGGGAGCCCAGCTTCATAAGCATGCCCCACAAAACAAATTGCACTGAAGAAAGTATGTCTGTGTGATGATGTCACTTGCAACCAGCTGCCAATCATTTAAACGTTGTTAAATAAACAATGGTGTACCACTTGATATCTGAATGAGCCGTAATGTTCTTACCTGATTCATCTGTAGAAGTGTTGACTGTAGGACTGAATGGACCAGTCTCATTAGCACTGTTCACAACAGCTATGGTGACGATGTACAGAGTGAAGGGTTTTCTGTTGGTTATTACTGTGCTCTGTTAAAATAAAGAAACCATTTTGGGATGAATTAGAAAGGGTTAAAATAATGGATTTGCATGGGATTAGGTTAACAGCCCTTATCAAAGGTAAAGTCTGGATCTAATATACTCCATCATATATCATGTTCTGCTGGGATTTTGCACTGTAATCAATGTGTTTGGGTGGAATGGAAATTTTGTCCCATAAAATATATTTACTGTATCTTTATCTTTTATTTTATTCTATCAAAGTAATCTATTTTTAAAGACTGGTTACAACACCCGGCTATTCATATACAATGACAAAACAGAATTAGATGTCAACCACATGTATAGTGAGAAGAAATAAAATGGCCTTTTAAATCTATTATTCATTTCAATGTCTCTCTGTCTCTTTTTTTATTTCTTTTTCATCTCTTTACCCCTTTTCTCTCTTTTTCTCACTCTATCTTCCCTTATCTCTCCCTTTTTCAATTACCTTCTTCCCATATCATTTCTTTGAATTTCTACCCCTTTCTACCTCTGTCTGTCTTTCATCTTTTTGGCATTGGCTTCATGTCTTTAATCTACACTACATTAAACATAATTTCAATCCAATTCATTTGCATAAAAGCAAGCTCATGGGGTCCACTCTAAAAAAATCAGCAATTTTATGTTTATAATCAGACTTAAATCAAATCATATAATCTTGCATTACATAGGGAAATGAACTGACATTTATTCATGAAATTTGTATCATCCTTCCTTTAAATACAGCCTATTTAATCAGAGAGATTCCAGATATGTCACTCAAAAATCACTTAAAGATAATCGAGTGTTCTGATGAGGGAGCTGTATTTGTAGAAAAACTGGGTTCAACTTATTTTTATTATTAGTCATTCAGTACTTGTAAATGGATTTTTCAAAACAGACAAAATTTAGCCCCCTTTTACTACTCCCACTTTCCATTCATTCAAAAGTAAAATGGTTTTGATTTTATCCGGCAGTAATCATTTTTGGAGGTGTCTATGGCATCAGGTATCCAAAAGGCTTTAAACATGCCATAATGCTTACATCTTCATTCCCCTTTTGACTCAACCTGCTTCTCATCCTACCCCCCACAACCCAACCCACATTGCTGTGACATTTTAATTACCTTCAACCTGAACTTGGGCTAGAGGAAGGGGGTTTGTCAACAGCTAGTGGAATATTCACGGAGACTGAAGCAAAGCAGGGGAAAGCAAGGTACGAAGGGGAAGTCTTAAATGAAAACTTGGCCCTAAAATAGATCAAGGATGTCAGGCTGTTTGAAGCCAATGAACCTCAAGTTACAACTCAGATAACTACCATCCATTTCAACTGATTTGACAATTTTTCCCCGCTCATTATATAGTTCTCGTATTTTCATCAAAATCATAAGATGCCATCAACAGGTAATTAGTGTCTAACTAACTTTATATCCATTCTGTTCTCCTTCTTATTTTCCAAACGAAGAATATATCTCAAATCTGGAGATTTCCTGCTAAATCAAGGAGAGTTTCAACTGATTTTAAAGGAAGTAAAGCCCCAAAGCTCCTAGTTCTATAAAACGTAAGAATAATACTCTTATCAAGTACATTCTCTGTCCATTAGTTGAGAATGCAATTATAAGAGGGATTTATGTATAAACCCTACTGAGGCATAAAAGAGACAAACCTACCTTTGCTGACAGTACGCCTCCACCAATGTGCATTTAGAAGAAGAAAACAAATACTTTAGACCTCTATTCCTCTTACCATTTAGATTCCTTTACTTTGTTTTTATACTCCAATTTCAAGTGGCAACAAACTCGGCTGCACATTTTTGAGATTTACAAGATATTTAAGTCCCTGCTTAAGGATCCAAATAATTCTGGACAAGTATCAATATCAGGGGAGATCGATCCTTGCTTCATTCTTAAAACGGCACAAAAATATTCTAAGCAATGTATATCTCTGAAAAAAACTAAACCTAAGTAGCCTTTTTTGCTATTATCCGTCACTCCACTTTCAAAGGTGCCTGCCTATGGGTTCATCATCGACTACAATCTAATACCTGTCACATGTGCCTCCCAGACAGATAAGCCATTGAGGAAACAACTGCTGAATACCCCTAACACATACCTGGGTCCTGTAACACAAAGGTTTGTGATCGATTGCAAATTTGAAACAATGATTCTGATTGGTTGTTGGTCAGCTTTTTGAAAAAATATGCATGCGACAATGATCTTGATTGGCTACTGCCATAGTGCAATAGATTGCAAACCTTTATGTTACGGGCCTGATCCTGATCCTAACCTTTACTCTAAGCCTGAACTTAATGCTAACCCATCCCCTAAGACTAACCCTGACCCTTACTTTAAACCTAACATTGCATAAACCTAAACCCTCACCCTTAATGCTAATCCTAACCCTAGCTGTATCAGGTAATCATCAATACAAATAGTAAACCCTTATCTGCACAAGTATAGACTTAACCTTTGACCGAAGATCAGGTCACAACCTCACTCACCAATGTGGAAGGGCCAAGTTTGATGACCTGGCTGCCCGGTGATACCATGACCTTGTAGTTTTGAAGGACACCGTTGATGCTGTTGGGAGGAGGTGGTTTCCAGGACACAGCGATGGTGAAAGGTCCGCGGGTCGTCACGGTTACGTTCCCTGGCGGCTGAGATGGTTCTAAGAGGCAGAGTGAGCAAAGATGATGAATTTACTATTCACTGTGCTAACATGAAATTTCTAGGTGGGACTTCTATAATTACTAACTGAAACTGATAGTCATTATAACCTGATTAAAAAAAAAATTCTGCTTCCAGTCATCCAAACTTTTTAAAACTGCAACATTTACTATAAATTCATGCTCCATGAAAGTTTTCTGAACTGTCCATTCTGCTTTGGGATGGATAGATAGATCCATATCTATAATATTTACTTTCTTTCTACCAACAATTTCAGAGAATGATATCCTTATTTCTATTTTGGAAAATACAGAGGATTTTTTCCATTTTTTTTTTTTTAAATTGGTTCCTTTATTTGGTTTCTCAAGCCCAAGACAAAATCTACAAAGACTCTTTAACTCTTTCAGTCTCTCTATACGACTGAGCTGACAAAATACCTCCAGTGACTTACTCCCTTGTGCCGTACGGATGAGCTTGGAGACGGGACTGTCTTTAAAATAGCCCGTTGAGAAGTGCGCCCTCACATGAAACTGGTAGAACTCGTAGGGCATGAGGCCATAGACTGTGTATTCAGAGCTTGCACCAGGGGGCTGGTTAACTGCTAGATCCCAGGAAGATGTGTAGTTTCCTTTCCTGCAATTCATGTTTGCGGATACAAAGGAAAGCACATGTATTATTATGCATTGAAATATTCAAATTGGCAACACAGAATTGAAAAATAAATACATTAGGATTATTTTCAAAAGGAAAGCAGTCATTTAGTATATACATGTATCTCTTACATATTCTGTCTGCAAGATTTTAAGAGAGAATTAAGAATATTGATATTGCCAATCTGAGGAATTCCTTCTTTATTTTGTTATGAGTGAGTAAGAACCTACCTACATATCATCTGTTTGGAGCTAGAAGGGTATAAACTCACATACATCAACACAGAGTTAATGCCCTTCTGGCTCTGAAGAAATGATATATCAGTGTGTGGATTCTTCTTACCTAGTATCACATGCCTCCTCTGAGCCCAAACCCAAAATTCACCCCAAATCAAACCCAAATCATCACCCCTATATCAAATAAAATATAAGGGGTGATGATAAGTGGTAAAACCAACAAAAAGAACTTCTCATAAAGTCATTCTGAAGTTTGCCATCTGGCACTCATTATTAGAGAAACAGGTAAGAATGAATGAATACCAGAGGCTGGTATCCTGTTATTTCCGGCAGCTAATCAAGGGGCTCATTATCTTTGTCACACACTTGGTTTCATTTCCTGTTCATTTTCATATTTTGTATTGAGATAATAAGACAAAGCTTCTGTATGCTTATGTTAAAAGTTCCTCTTAAAAATAAAGAAAGAATACCAACACTAGAGTAGTGGGCAAAACAAAACAAGAGAAACTTTTTTTCTACAATTTTTCCCACTTGCCACTAAATCTTGACAAATGCCTACCATTCCATATTGGAAGTCAATAAAAAATCTGACACTGCTTTTTATCTTCATTGATGTCTATAAAAATCAGATGACTTCTGGAACTAAAACACAAGTTTTCATGACACAGTCATAGATTGATGAGTAAAATTACAAGGCAGAACGAATACCAGTACAACACAAAACTTCTGCCTTCAAAACTCTTGTGTAACAGTGGAACATAATTTGCAGGTCTTGTGATATCGAAGATAGATAGTTTACCCTAAAATTGATGGAAAGTCAGTTCTTTCTTTTTCTAATTACCCAACATACAGCCATTAACACTGCAAGCAAAATCTGTTTTTTTTTTGTCCACATATCAGAGTTTTGTCTGAAGTTGCTAGGCAATTACCCATAAACACACCACAAAACACAAATCGAAAATGTAAATACTTGCTCTAAAAACACCATTAAAATATTCTGGTTTGTGGTCACGCAACAACAAGTGACGCACGCACAAAACCCAGAGTTAGCAAACACCAAGGTTTTTTCTTTCTTTTGTTTTCCAGTACCGGTGGTGTAAATGATACTTCAAATTTTTTCCATATTGGTTTTTCTGCAGTGTAAATGGGCCTACCTAATGTCCCTGGGAGCCATTTTACATTGTACAACTTCTTTCCAAATGGTTGCCATATAATCAGATTAAATACAGGAAAGTAAAATGAGATCCATTTCTGACTAGTGTTCAACTCAAATGACAAGTTGTATATATTTGAAGCATTACATTTATGCACACGCCTGAGGGCTGTTGCCGTGGCAACAACAAGGGTACAGCGCTATGTGGCAAAAAGTTGGCAAATAATGGACGAAGGAGCGGAAAAAGGGAAGGCTAGACCTGGGATTGTGATGAGAGACGAAGGAAAACCTCATTGAACATTGTGGGGAAATTATGATTTACTGTAGATCCTACTGTAAATGTTACAAATGAAAAATGAATACTTGCAACATCAGCATTCAGAAATACGAGTAATATGATATGAATTAAATACAGTACACCCTGTATGTTTCCAGAGTTGGAAACATTTGAGAACAGTTACCATCCATATGTATTTAATTAAGTCCTTAGTATGTTTCTTTGTCTTCTGTTGAACAGTAAAGGATGTAGTAACAGGTCACATTTCCTACTTACATGTAGTATTGTACATTACTCAATAATACATCTATATCAATCTTTTTCCCCACATATCATTTTCCTCTCAAAAGCGTATGTTTTAGTATGTTTGTTTGTCTTCTGTTGAACAGTAAAGGACAGTAACAGGTCACAATTCCTAATTCAAGTTCAAGTTCAAGTTCAAGTTCAATTTTATTGATCATGCACAATTACATGGCATAAAAATCATTTTCCGGCTGTTTCTCAATTTATATAACATCAATTAACATACATGTACTATCAATTTATACAAAGTACAAAACCAGGAATAAATATAACACACAATAGAATATGAGTACAGACTGGTATACAGTGTAGGCTTTGGTATAGAAACAGAATTCATGAATATCATACATTACTCAATAATACATCCATATCAATCATTTTCCCCACATACGGTTTTCCTCTCAAAAGCATTGTTTTCTTATTCTGCTCATAATGCTCAAATTTCAGTCAGTTTCCCTTTTGACGCGACAGCAAGGTCTCTCAAGAAATCAATCCAAGGGCAATTGGAATATCCTATTGCACTGCCAATAAAATAACATTTCCATCAAGTAATGTGAAATATTCACATTATGGATTATGACATGTTCAGATCATGTAGTATATGTTTGTATTATCTAATGATTGTACATTTTCATTAGGTGATGGACTTGGCTGATTATAAGGCCCTTAGGTCGATTTCTTCAAAGCCTTTACAATCTTCTTTTTTTTACAAAAGAAAAACGTCCTTCAATCTTGAGCTCACTTCAATCTAAAATTCAACAGTTACAAAATAAAAATGAAGAATAGGAAAAAAACAAGGGTTTCTCTCACCTGACACTGACAGAGTAGTTAGAGATGGGGCCATCGCTAGGCAACCAGCTTAATACCAGGGATGTGCTGTTTATCTTCAAGGCTTTAGGTTCACCTGGTGGGATAGGTTCTAGAGAAGAAAACATCCAACAAAAGAGAAGTGAAATGTAATAGCGTTTCTGTGACACCCGCAAGGGGTAACATGCATTTAGATTGATGAGAAAATGTGTTGTGATTGATGAGAATATGTGTCTTGTACAAGAAAATGAATCGAGTATGATGAGAAAATGTATCTCACATGATTAGAATATGTCTCTGTATAAGATAAGATGTGACGCCTTGATCGTCAAATATTCTAAAGGGCTTATGGAAGAAAATCAAAGGTTGGTAATCTATCATCCCAACAACTCATGAACACTGTTAATGTAGTTTGTTTTGTTTTGTAGATGTGTTTGTTTTTATCAACGAATACACATCCTTCGTGAGGGATGTATGTTCTAGCAAAACATGTTTTGTCACCCTCTTTCAGTTCTGTGCTACTGTACATATAAGGTATATTCATGAATGTGCACCTTTCAAGAGCTATACAAGTACAAGTATACTACAGGAGACACATGTTCACTTATCCCCCAAGTACATTATAGTTTGTAACCTGTAGTGCCCCTCTTATTAAACTACTTTCTTCCTTTCCACCCCATCTCTTCCTCCTCCTTTCCTCCCTCACCATCAACTCTTAATTCAGGATTTTAAAGCTCTTTACTCCATTAAAGCGTTTTACATGTGAGTACCTCCCTCCGGCCTGGGATGGAAACAGTTCAAGTGTACATGCCATCTGAGAAAGTATACGTTCTGACTTTCATCTTACTTAGCCTGCTGAATGATGTATAGCATCTTGATAAAGTACAGGCAAAAATGGTCACCATGCACATTTCGCAAAGCATGGTCACAAAATCCATTAATGCATGCTAACAAAAAAAAGAGAATTAACAAAGAATTCATGTGCCTCTATATTACACCTGCTCTATCAAGAGTTGCTCCATGATGGATTGCTTTACTAGTCAAATTCCGTACTCCAAAACCCTGGACATAATAGTTTACCTAATCCTATAACTGTTACCCCAAACTAATCCTAAACGAAATGGTAGCCCAAGCTGTAACACGGCTAACCCTATATCTTTGACAAAATAAAGCCTGGAGAAATTATTGAATCACTAGTTAATCCATTCAAAATGATATATCCTCAACTTTTTGTATATGAATATTGTAGATTGTAGGACTTCAAAATGAAACTTAAACCAAATTGTTCCACATGTATCAGTGTCTTTGTAATGTTAGAATTTGAAGAGGCAAAATAAGGTACTGGTCTTCAAAACCTTTGGATAACATTAATCCATGGAAGTTTATTATAAAGAGTTTAAAGTGTTTAATTGCTTGTAATCTCACTGATATATATATATCAAACTACCTCTATTTTGCCATATTGATTAAGTGGACTAATTTTTGACAATGCCAAAATGATACCAAATGAAACAGGGCTGCTAAATTGTAGATTACCAAAAGGATAGTCAAAATACTGGCAACATTGCCACCTGAAAACTTCAATTGCTTCCTGACAGCTTTATTTACTGTCTGCCAGTCTTAAGACAGGAGATTTCCTGCATGGAAAACAAGAATTGGTAAAGGGTAGTAATTGCACTAGGACTGCCAAGGTCAAGTCTGTAAATCCAGACTGTAGGCCTGTCTTCATCAGAGATGGCCAAATATCCCGCTATTAGAACTATCCCAATCGCAAATTATCCAGTTAATTTGCGTCCTCATCAGCCCGAAGTTTCAATTAGCGGGATATTTGATCGAGATAATCATCCCAAGAAATATTGGCTAGTTTGCAAAATATCCCGCTATTTGACAGGTGCATCTTCACCAGTCTGAAGACTCGCACTTTGCACGAACGCTGATCAAAATATCTCGGGCCCAAGTTTCAAGTTTCGAGGTAAAGGCTAGAGCTGATGAAGACGTGATTTGTAACTTCAGGATTTTTGCCCAAATCAGAAATAGCGGGTTATTTTGCCAGCTCGAGCTGATGAGGACAGGCCTTGTGTCACTGTAAAAAGGAGTGTGAGCATATACATATACCATGTTAATACGGTTTATCTTTTCTGTATTATGGGGGGATTATGCATTGTAGCTTATGCCCAAGCTCCAATGAGCCACAGAGTACAACTACATGTACGTCTACCCTCTATTGCTTTTTCTATAAAGAGGGTCTATACATCGGTGACTTGACATTTGTCCGAGGCTTTATTTCATCACGGGTCTAGTGTTAGGGTTAGACTTGCAATTGGGTTTTAGCTTATATTTAGGGTTAGTGTTAGGATTAGGAAGAGGGATAGTGTCGAGTCCATGGTTGAAGTTTGGAATTTGATTAGTGTAGTTAATTACCTCAGGTCAATTGTCACAGGAGCTTGCTGTACAATGTGTCAGTACACTCAGATGGCACTGAACATGTGCACTGTACATGGAACAGCTGAAGTGGAGGCTCAGTCTTTGGGAAAGAGGAAATTGGCAAAATTGCCCTCAATTTTGGACTTGGGCTGTCTGAATTAAGACAGCTGGTCTGACCTTTAAAAGGGTTCCACGTGGTTATTGGAAAGCTTTAGGGAAAAGTATACTTTCCATGTGATGGTGGAGTCTAAAGTTTACAGAAAATGTTTTCAACTACGTGAACATTAGTCCCTGAATGCATGGCTGACATGTGTTTGTTTGTTTGTTGAAAGATTCAGTACCCTTTCTGCGCAACAAAGAGTATGAACAAATGTCAAAAATAAACTTTCAAGAAATACAAGTATATGTATTCTTGTTATTTAGTTTACAATGAGCACTTCTTATTTCCCCATCCATTGATCCATCAAAATGCAGAAACTATGCAAGAAACAGCATGCAACAGACAATGTACTTACTTTGATGGGAAGTTAATAATATATTTGCACAAATCATCTAAAATAGGAAAGGTTTGGTATTGTAAAGTGTTTTGTTTTAATTAAACATCAATACTGGAAAGGGTCATGGGAGAAAAATACACATACAAAACAGTATAAAATGGTTACACAATTCATCACAAAAAACACAAGTACAATATACACACGGTTGAAAGTATCAAATATAGTAATATTGGGCTAATAAAAGGGTCAACAGTCGATTCTATACACAGCACTCCATAAATGTCCATGGTATGGGGAATGGTTTACCTGCAACAAGCAGCATGATTTCAGAAGAGTTCATTAGCTCCGTATCAACCAGTAGCATTGAAGGAGGCTCATTGGTTGTCATGGTTTCATTGTAAATAAGCGTAGTTGTGGATGAAGTGGTGTCGTTCCTCTCATCAAGAGGATCTGCTAGAAATGGGCAGAAAGCAAACTTAAAAACAAAGATATACAACAAATTGATATTGTACCAGTATAAAATGGGGGAGGGAGACTTAGAATGCATGATTAAAACAAAATAATCAATATTCTTATCTGGTTGAAATGGAGAAGAGGAAGACTTATAATCAAGGATCACATCAAAATAATCATCATATACACTGTATAGGGATAACTGAAACTAAGAATAAAGGATTACAAGATATTAACCACATTTTTTTCCTGCTAACAATGAAGACAATTGATGCTTCAAATCAAAAATTACAAAACATCAATAACTTTTCTGCTTCAAATGTAGAGAAAAAACTTAAAATAAAGGCTTACAAAAATTAGTCATTACTTTTTCTGTTAAAAATGGATAGAAAGGACGTAAATCAAGGATTACAACTTAATTTTTTTTCCCTCTACTAATTGGGGGAGGAGATTTAAATCATGTATTTCAACAAATTAATCTTTTTTGCTGAAAAAATAATGAGAAGGATGACATAAGGAACCCAGGAATTCAACAAATTAATAATTTTTTACTGTCTTACAAAGAGGGAGAGAAAACTTAAAACCAAGGGTTTTGTGCTACCAACGTAGAGAAAGGAGACTTGAAGTCATGGATTACACCATTTTTTCTTCTTCTTCACTCGCTCCTAGCAATGAAATCAATCCAATAAATTCTTTATTCACAGTCAAGTTCAGTACTTTGATGGAGAAAATGAGACTTTAAATCATAAATTACAACAATTTAATCTTATTCTTCATTATTCTGTGCTACAAACAATAAAGCTGATCACACTTTCTTTATTCACATACAAGTTACATGTATATACAGTGTATATATATATATATATTGGCCTACACCAAACTGCAGAATAAAAGAGAATTAATATATGTGTACACTTTTATTGTTAAAGGGGGTACCAGAAGTTAGCACAAGTGCTAGTCGAGTCTGGTTCCCTGTCTTTGGCAAGAATTTTAAAACTATTTTTTTTTTTACTACCGGGTGTACTACATTATAAAGATGTAACATAAACTATATAAGTAAACAAAGAAATAGAATAGTCATTTAGAAATATATATACCTAATATACATGGAAGTCAAACGTGTGTCGACTTCCGTATCAAAACCAAACATACAGGAAAAAAAATATCATTATCTAGTGATATTTTTAGAAATTCTCTAATCTGAGATTTATTTTTCAAGGATAACATCACATCACAACACATGCTCATTACATATGACTAAATTCTAAAACTGTCAATTTGTTAAATAAATTTGCAAAACATTTTGGATATATATTTTGGATTTCTGGATATTTCATTTTGTTATCATTGAAATAATTAGAATAAATCACTGCCTTGCAGTAGTTCCAACCTTAACAACAAGAGACCAAGATTTTGGGCACCGATTAACCGACCTAATGAATACGATGACGCTTGCGCTTGATGGTCAATAGTAGGGGGTGAAAAATTGGCAGTCATGGTCTCTTTCTCCCTGACTATTAAGGAAATTACCCATCTCCTGCCAAACTCATTTAATATGTCATAACTCATTATGGAGTAACAATTGCCTGCTGTTCCACAGGCGTTGCAGACAATCATTCATGTTCTGTGTACGAGCACATTACTCAGCCTATATATTCAATAGTGCATGTAGTAAACAAATTTATTATCACTACTTTTTATTAGAGCATCATCAGATATCTTTCAATTACTATATTTTGAAATGAAGTTTGTAAGCTCCAAGGACAAAAAGTTATCTTATGATTTAAATACATATCTTGTCTGATAAATAAAAAATAATGCTGTTGATAGAAATATCAACTTTTCCTGAAATTGATCAATAAAAAGAGTAATGATTTTTGTTAAATAGAGCATTAACCAATGTCAATCATCTTTTTCTTACCACAGTGACATAATACCAGCAATCAAAGCATTATTGACTTATTAATCTAGATAAAATTTTCCCTATTTAAAGAATCACTGCTGGTTAGCACATGATGTCTTTGCCCAAGTCCGACATACAGTGCATCATAACACAGGAGGTTGCTTCAGAAAACTGTGTTTGAACATTATTGTTGATCTGTTGGGTTAAAAGAAGTAATTAAAACAAAAGTTCCTTGTATTTATGCATCATTCAGATTCTGCTTCAAGATGCATCTCAATCATGCAGGTCTATTGTACAGATCCCACTTTATCTCTAATTTAATTTGGTCAAAAGGTGGAAACAAATATGCTGACATCATTGTCACTAATATTCATTCCATCTTGTCCCTAAAGGCTAGCACACATTATGCAAGTTTAAAGTTCCAGTGATTGGCAATATTTAGACCATGAAAAATCCAGATATGAGTTTTCTCCCTCCTTTTAAAAGAAAATAAGTTTGACAAAGCCTGCAATGTTTAGACTACATTCATTCTTTCTTACCAACTCTCTCATGAGTAAATGAAGAGAGTGACAATTAAAGAGAGGATATAGTTTAAATACTTCAGACTCAGTAAATACATCTTCAACACTAAGGTAGGAAAGTCATTACATCTGAAAATCTGATTGAATTGCACCATATCACCTGTCCTCTCAGACTGGCTTGCATAAAGTGCATTTGCTATAAAAGTAAATGTTTTATTTGACTTTTGTTTGCATTGCTTGACACAGATTTGACCAAACAATGCCACATTACCAAATTGCAAGGTTAAAATTACATCATAGGAAAGTGTGGTTTGTGGTTTAGAAATTTGTTCAAATATATTTAGTAACAGAGCAGGAAACGTTATCACTTCCGATAAGAAATAAAGTGGGATCTGTATTTATAGAACAATGCTCATGCAAAACGTTTCTTTTTAATCCCCTGCATGCCAGTGTCTCATCCATTTGCCTTATAAGGCACATATGACAAGCCCCTGGCATGCCAAGGGTTAACATATTCAAGCAGTATACCTTTTGTAGTTAGTGTAGCCTGCGTGATGCCCACTGTAAGACCAGCAGTGGTGGTGGTGAGGGATGCTGGGTTGGCAATACCTCGTGCAAGACATCGGAATGTGCGGTTGTCTGTGTGCGGGCTGGCGCTGTCTAACAACAAGCTGTAGTCGGTGATATCCAGGCTGTATCGGCCATTTTGCATGTAGGTGGAGTTCACAAGGTCAAAAGGCATCTCCATCTGGTGGATTAGGAGTTGGGAGAGAGAAAGAGAATATATCAATTTGATATCTACTAAAAGATCTCATCATTATTCATATCAGATTAGAATACAGAATTAAGAGGAGAGGGGGGAAGGAACAAGATGAATGTAATAAATAGGGCGAGAAAGAGAGAAAGTAGAGATAGAGATGGACTGACAGAGTGAGAGAGAGGGAGGAGAGAGAGAGAGACAGAGAGGAGAGAGAGACAGAGTCAGAGAGAGAGAGAGAGATAAAGAGAGATAAAGAGAGACAAACAGACAGAGACAGAAGAAACAGACAGATATAAGGAAGGGAGATAACATATAGGATATATTATGAACGAATGTGAAAGGAGAGGAGGTAGGACTGAAATAGGGATTATAAGGAAGAACATACGTATAGAACAATGGATGGAGAAGACAGAGATGAGAGAGGAAAATAATAAAATAGGAATGTGAATGAACATAGAAAGGGTGAGGGGAGAAGGAGAAGGCACAGAGAGAGAGAGAGAGAGAGAGAGAGAGAGAGAGAGAGAGAGAGGAGGGTAAAGAGAGAGAGAGAGAGAGGGGGGTAAAGAGAGAGGGGGTAAAGAGAGAGAGGGGGTAAAGACAAAGAGAAAGACAAAGAGAAAGATAAACAGAGAGATAGAAACAAATATAAACTAAAGACAAAAAGGGACAGGGCAGACAGAATGAGAAACATAAAAAGACAGAGACAGATATAGAGATAGATATACAGAAAGAGAGGGGAGAGGAGAGGAGGGGAGAGAAGTGAGAGAGAGGGAGAGAGGGAGAGAGGGGGAGAGAGGGGGAGAGAGGGGGAGAGAGGGGAGAGAGGGGGAGAGAGGGGGAGAGAGGGGGAGAGAGGGGGAGAGAGGGGGAGAGAGGGGGAGAGAGGGGGAGAGAGGGGGAGAGGGGAAAGAGGGGAAAGAGGGGTGGAGAGGGAGTGGAGAGGGGGTGGAGAGGGAGTGGAGAGGGGGTGGAGAGGGGGTGGAGAGGGGGTGGAGAGGTGGAGAGGGGGTGGAGAGGAAAAAGGGGAGTGAGTAAAATAATTCCACATCTACCCTAGATCTCATTACATATTACTCTTAATAATTACTACCACCACCCATTTTGTACCATAAACCCAGTGATAAAAAGGTTTTTGAGAACTGTACAATAAATACACTTATCAACATAATAAAACATAAATCTACAATGTAAACATACCCGCACTAAATCAACCGAGTGCGTCATCACTACATAAAAAAGGAGCTAAAACCATTAATTATCTGAACAAGAAAACCACAATGACTAAAATATACCTCTCATTGCTCTGTTTATCGCTTGGAATGAGATATTGGTCAAAAATTCCATTCACCTTGGACCTTGGTTTCACTTATTTCCTCCTCTGGTCCAGGAACAATCCTTAACCACAACACGCAAAAGCCCCAATTTCCTTGACATGAGTTAAATTGTTCTATTCCTTCCTACAAGGTCAATTATTTCTTTTCTAAACCTATAAATTCTACACACAAGATAGTTCAGACTGGAGTCTATGGAAAATTGTGTAATATACCAAAATCAAATAGTAAAGGTTAAATGTTAACTTAATTACAACTTCAGCTAGGTTGTCTAAACCTATACATGTATACATGTAACTATTTGCTTCAATTTTGTTGTTGTTCGTTTCCTTCAAATTTCAAACTTATTCAGACTACATTTTAATTTTCTTAAATTTCTTGTTTCAAAGACAATTAAAATGAAACAATGATTAATGACATTAGAATATTTCCACGCACACAAACTTACATATAAATTCAAATTCTTCACCCTGAGGCACTATCTATCCTTAATGCTGCTTTTAACGATTCTTACAGCTTTTTGTTGATTCTCTCATTGTCATCCACCCAAAATTTCCCCGGGAATGATTAATGAATGGTATTAGGAAAGCACTTAGACTTTTATCTGTAAATATATCATCTTTGATGAGACAAGTTGACGACTACTCTCATCGCAATGCTAGTGTTCAGATCACAGGGAACGGGTAACAAAAGTGCAATGTCCTTTGAGTTTCCCCACAAAAGCAGCATTCCCTCCAACTATACACTGTATGACTTGTTTCCTCTTATAATAATTGTCGCTACAACAAGGATGTTAATAATGTAATGAAAACTACGAAGAAATATACCATGAAGGCATTTTGAGGACAGAGTAATTTACAAAATGACCATGCATTAAAGTAATAACTGGACAGCATTATCTCATATCCTAATTAGCAAAGTGAAATTTATCTAATAAAACAACTAAACAAAATAGCAAGTAAAATGTCATGAACAATACAACAAGAAAACTTTCTTCTTTTTTTAATTAAAAATGTTTTTTTCTAAATACCACAAGTGTGAGATTGATAATATTTCTGTATTATTCTAATATCATAAACAAAAGTATATTTTCAACATAACAGTTGGCTATATTTTCTCATGTATCAAGCAAATTTGCTGTAAGAATAAAATAATTAACAAGTTAAATTGAATTATTAAGCCACATTAGTGAAACATAAAATAATCCATTGTATTTTTCAATTATTTCACTGCTGCAATAGTTTTTTTGTTGAGTATTCCCAACAAAATATATTATTCTTATTATACCTTTCCACTCTGCTTGTGTTCTACGTCAGTTTGGAGCAAGTGAAGCAAAGGCTTCCAATCTCATTAGACCAGGTACGTCCAATGTCATCACTTTATCATAATAATTCCCTCATACATTCCACTTCAATGCATTCACCACAGACACATTATACAACAGGCTAGTTCGACTGAAAATATGCAATCAGCATGATACAATTTCACTGTTAACCATGAGTCTTTATCATTACCCTACCACAGATGTCACCATTAACATCACCACCACCATCACCACCAGGATCATCATCACCACCACCACCGTCATCATCATTATCACCATTATCATCATCATCATCATCATCATCATCATCATCACCACCACCACGATCACGATCATCATCATCATCATCATCATCATCATCATCACCACCACCACGATCATCATTATCATCATCATCACCATCATCACCACCATCACCACCATCACCATCACCATCACCACCATCATCATCACCATCATCATCATCATCATCATCATCATCATCATCATCACCACCACCACCACCATCATCATCACCATCATCATCATCATCATCATCATCATCATCATCATCACCACCACCACGATCATCACCATCATCACCATCATCACCACCATCACCACCATCACGATCATCATCATCATCATCATCATCACCACCACCACGATCATCATCATTATCATCATCATCATCATCATCATCATCATCATCATCACCATCATCATCATCATCATCATCACCATCATCATCATCATCACCACCACCACGATCATCACCATCATCACCATCATCACCATCATCACCACCATCACCACCATCACCACCATCACCATCACCATCACCACCATCATCATCATCACCACCATCACCATCATCATCATCATCATCATCATCATCATCATCATCATCATCATCATCACCATCATCATCATCATCATCATCACCATCATCATCATCATCACCACCACCACGATCATCACCATCATCACCATCATCACCATCATCACCACCATCACCACCATCACCACCATCACCATCACCATCACCACCATCATCATCATCACCACCATCACCATCATCATCATCATCATCATCATCATCATCATCATCATCATCATCACCAAACATCCTCCATGTCTTTCTTCTCACCACAAGGCTCCTCCAGTACCATCCTCACTATCCTATCCTATCTTGCCTTCAATATTCACATCACTTTACTCTGACTGTATAACGTTACTGCACTCCTGTGTTGGAGCATTATTGGGTATCACTGTATCTTTATCTCTTTACGACAGTTGCCTTCATCAGCCTATCATCACCACATGCCTCATTAGGATACTATGCCTCCTCACCAATATCTGCTCAGAGAAAAGAGGGCATTAGCCAATATCATTTACACCCAGCTTAATACCCTTCTGGCTCTCAACAGACACCATTGGCTTACAGATGAAGCTGAGTCCAGTATTGCTTTCATTCATACCATACTACACTGAGCATATTCCTTTGCTTTTTATAAACATGTACAACCTGTACACATAGGCTTCATCCTCCTGGTTCTAGTTCAACTTGTTCCAGCAACAATTGCTAAGCAGTCATCTTCCTACAGTAACCTAATTCTTAGCCTCAATATCTAACCCTAGCCCTTAACCAAATTAGAAACTAAACCTACCCTTGAAGTGCAACCCAAATCCTGACTCTGTATCTTTAAGAGTAAAATATCAGATCATCGCTAAATGATATAACTGAAAAGGGATTGTACTTATAAACATATTGTGTGTAAAGAGTCAAAAGGGCGTAAACTCCCATGTAAAGTAATTTCTGACATTCAACAAACCTTAGTTTGAATCTTATCAATGTTAATTATCCTGATAATGATTGTTATTTTTATTCTAACCCTAACCCTAACCTTTCCTATACATCCTAATCATAATGATCCTGATACATACCTCCGTCCATGATACCATGACTGTGTTGGGATCGACTCTGGCTTGCATGTGAAGGAAAGCATTGCAAGGAAGTCGGGCAGTTTGACCACGGAAGGCAATTATAGTGGCAGCATATGAGCAGGATGCACAGAGGAGTACTGTGAGAGGAAAAGAAAAGTAGAAAGGGAAGGTTACATTACTACTAACAAGTTTGTACAACGTGGTGTGGATATCTTTCATAATCATAAAGTCCATGTAGTAACTATGATACATTACATGGGTGTGTAATAAAACTACAGTTGCATTATATATCACATTAGAAAAAATGTTCAAAGCTTATACCCTACGTATTACATACACCATCATTGCTATGTGCAACATCAAGTATAATTGAAAGGTGAGAAGACTACATATAGTTTGCAGAGCCAAAGAATGTTCATATCATAAATACCTTCTTTAATTAATAATAATTGATTTTTTCAAAATTTAAAGACATTGCATGTGACTAAATATCCCTAAGCCTCTATAAAAATGTCCATGTGTAACCAGACTACTGGTGTGAAAAACAAGTGCATCAATTTAGAGAGTGCACTTTTAGAAACAAATCATTACGGGAAGGAACTGATATATATAATACATCCTGACTTCAGGGAAGTCTATTAATATTATATATCTCTTCCTCTTCCCCAATACAGGTAGAAACAGGTGTGGAGTCATATGCAGATCAGTATTAAAATACAATGAATATGTTAATAATGTTATTATATCTTAAGTCTTGGACATAAAACCTAGTGTATATTTTATTGCATGAAGTTCTCATAGTTTCTTTATATAACGTATAAAATAATAAAGATATATGAACACTGTCTAAATAAAGGATAAAGGTTAGAATGTATACATTCAAAATTAAATTTCATCCTAGACACATTTGTATAATGAGGAGCTAAGAGACTACTTTTGCTGCATATCTGTACCAATAATCCGGTTAGTAAAATACTCAAGATTGCCTCATCAAACTTCTGTCACAATGAAATATAGCCCTCCCACAAAAAACATTTCCTTCGATTCTAAGATTTGATAAGAACGCTGTGGACAATATCAATAGCCTGAATATTATCAGCTCCAAGCCAGAAGGAGGCTAAATCTATAAATAAACACAGAGATAAATCCCTTCTAGTTCTCAACATGATGATATGTGCTTCCTCTGCTCTATGATCTAGTACTTCCCTAAGTGGACTCGAGCTTGAAATCCCCTTCTCTATCCATCCTCATCTATGTCTTCCTGGACGCTGCATTATAGGAAGTCCCTCTCGCAATCGGTTTCCCTAGCCAGGAATTAAGGGATATTCAACTCAACTCTTGCCCCCCTTGCAGGCTGGTCTAGATAAACAGCTCTTTGAAGTTCACTGCATCCGTTCTCCCCTTTTCATTCCCTATCTATCTCTACATGCACTCCATGCCTTAAAGCATTAAGACAGAAGCTCAATGGGGCTTCCCTTTAATACTCTACAAGAGGTGTAGCACCAATTTTTAGCTGCATTTCAACTTTGGACATGTATCAAATGTGTACAGCATTAACTACATGACACATAATGTAGATCATTAGCTAAAATGGTAGCTCCTTTTCATACAAATTTGAAAAGAACAGGCCAAAGAAAAGTACAATGAATGCTACAAGTAAACGTACTTCGATATAAAACATTTTTCAAACAAAATTATCATTTAAGGCAGCCATTTCAATATTCAGCCATAAAAGCTGGTGGCATTTTGTAAAATAATAATTTAGGTACAATTGCATTTCTGGGCCTACTTTTAGGCCAATCAGAACTTTGCTATTTTGTTCATTTTTTGGTATGGAGTTTCAGGGGCAAATCACCCCACTCCATGTACATGTATGTGTTTCCAAGTCATTTTTCTAAATTATAGTCTTACTCCTCTAGTTGTATAGTAATAATAGTTTGATCTCAAATCAATGATTTTTTTATATTTAAAGTGCCTTCTTGTTTTGTTTAAACAGTGTTGAAATTACAGATAAAGTCACTGTGGTAAAAGAAGACTCGACTTACCGGTAATAAATAAATGAATAAATAAACAGCCTTTATTTTGTTATAAAGATTACCTGCCAACTGTACTTCAATCATAAGTATCATATTCATTATTATACGTTAATTATAAAGATTCTGTTTCCATGGAAATGATGATCCAGGGATTGATCTGCATCTGAAAATATACAGCAGTGGCAGTCCTGAAGAATAAGGATTAACAGCCATTCAGTCAATAAGCAAATTTTTAGCAAAATCTTTCATACAAAGTAACAAAAAGAGCTATTGAAAAAAAGGCTTTGTCTGTAATTATTTGTAGCTGGTTAAAGACGAATAGCGAGGAATTATCTTCCATCAGGAAGTAGGGTGGCATTTTTTTCTGCTTCATTCATCCGTTCAACAATCTACACAAGTTTACATAGTAACACAAATCACTCTAAATCTCAGTGCATTATAATTCCTTACTCCGTCCAATATAAAAACTCATGGATTGCGGAGATTGCTATCTTGTCTGTAACATACAGTGACCTTTACGCAATTCCTCGCCTGTCCACAGCATTGTACATTTCACGGAATTGCCAATCAGTAGTCTACATATTGAACAACGAAAACTATCTGTAATAAGTTCATTTTGTGAAGGATGGCTGGTAGATTCCCAGCATGTCATCGAACTGAAGAAAAATTTGATCTTTGTCGCATTTGTGATGGGAAATTGATTGCCATGTAGCCACTCTGGAAACTCAAGCTTTTCTTTGGAATCCAACAGATGCTTTGAAACATTGAATATCATTCAGAGGGCTTCAACAATGAAAGCAAATCATCACATCACAATCTTACATGCATTTTAATACACTGTATGAGTGTGTCGTATTGTACATTTGTAAGTGTGAAAGAGCTAGGGTTGCATCACTGTCTTGTTCACTTCAATCATTAAATCTAAAAGGATGTACAAGCATGGATCCATTTAATACTTTGAAATTCTGAACCTCCTATGATAGCTTTTTGTTTTCCTTTTTTTACTTTTTTACTTACTCTCTCCTCTTCCTCTTCCTATTCGTCTCCTACTTCTCATCCTTCTTCTTCTTTTTCTCCTCCTCTTTCTGCTCTTCCTTCACTTTCCCCTTCTTCTCCTTTTTCATGTATTACATGTATTGTATTACCTGATCTTCAAGGTAGCAGACCTCAGCTCTGATGAGCAGTCTGAATATATCAGTGCGAAGAGGATGCACTGGTCAGTCATCCCCCCATGTGAGTTATTTCTATCATTCAATTAATGTATGGTTTCCACTCCCTGGAATGCTAACCATGTCATCTTAATGCCTTCTGCATGCTTCACCATCGATCTCATGTGAGCAGTGTGCTATCGAAGTGAGGTGTGAATAACCTCAACACTGCAGAATCCATGCTCTGTAAGAGTATCTTCAATTAAATGTAAAAACCTACCAGTATGTTTGTATTCATTTTTAGTTTCATTCAAAATCATGTTTATAGTTACAAGTTATAATGTAGGACCCTATATGTTTACATGTATTTCTTTGTTCTCTCACACCATCTTCAACATACATGTTGTACTCAAATACAGGGACAATGCAAGACCTGACAAAGAAAAAAAATATCCACAACAATTGCAAGTGGTATAGATTCATAAATTACATGATGCAAAATTCAGTAAATCACAATGTTGGCATTTTATGAAAGTTCTATAGCAAGAGTTAATTACCTGATGGTATACATAAAGTGCATAAAAAGTACTCAAATTATACTTGAGTTAATGATACTCATAATAGGATACTAGAGGCAACAAAAAACCTCACACTCAGAAGGATGGTTTTGATGTACATGTCGAATAACAAGGTAACAAAAATGGTTTCATATCCGGAGTAGATCACTGTTGTTATTGTATTTAAATCATTAAAAGTTGATGCATAAGTGTACATAAGGCTCCTAAGCTACTAGAAATTCATTCTTTTTAGCTTAAGGTTTCCTTCATTGTATGTATGAACCTATATTTATTTGAAGCTATAAAGAAATTGACCAAGAGAATAACTCATGTAAAGATCTATTAGAAATGCATGTTACAATATGATGCAGCTGGCTTAACAACTCATATCAAAAACTCCTTTCTTGAAGCTGAATATTGTTTGACGTAACATTGCCACTAAAATAATATATAACCACTTATCTTTTTATTTGTTTATTTATTCATTCATTTTATTTTAAAAGGGTAGCTCTCTCAGTACTGAAACTGAAACTGTAATATATCCTCAGATTTATGCCACAAATATTGGTTTTATGGTGATACTGATAGTTAATAAAAGTTTAATTACCTGAACTTACATGTATTTGAGTATCATATTAAATGGTGCTCTGATTTGGTAAGGGTGTACTTCAGATTGGCAAATAGTAAATCTTATTAATTGCATATAGGTCTAAATATTAGTTTAAGTAGCAAATGTACTAATACAGGGGTTTGAAATATCTGCACTTTTCTTTGATATAATAATTTATTATATATGCCTGTATAAAAATGATATGCACTTGAGCACTTCTACATGTAGGTATGACAAAGTTTTGCAAAGTATGCAAAGATTGGTACTTGTCTTTTCCCCCGATTTCTTTCCTTTTCTTCTTTTTCTCATCTCTTCTTCTCTTTCAAGAAAATATTCAAATACATGTATATCAAAATCAGATACGAGATAAACTTCATAACAGCAATGAAACACATATTTTCAGTACTACAGCAGTAAACAATTCAAGCACTGAGAGCCGAAAGGGCATTAAAGGACACATTTATATTATAGCTAACACCCTTTTGGCTTTCCGATACACATTCATTGTGAGGGAGATCCCTCGGAGCTAACCCATTATCCCAATTACTACATAATAAAAACACAGATAGTGTTCCTTACAACTGACATCACACGTCACTGGTATTAGCGGGATGACCCGTGTTGCTTGGCTGCAGTCAGCTACATGTACGTGTTCTGCCTAAGAAACAGCACACGATGTCATATCCTATCGTTACCATGATAACGGCATACAGGTGCCATATGAATTACTAAATGCAAAGAACTTTGACTCGTTTAACATGTACTGTACGCCTAATCAGTCAAATACTAAACTAGTCATTGCAAGTCAACTCA